AATTAGAGTGTCTCACACACAAATTTTATTGGTCAATATCAATTGAAGTTCTACATTGAAACCATATTGGAGCCACATTGGAACATTCCAATAGCATTACAATGTTCCAATTGCACAACACTGCTTTTAGTGATATTTAAAGCAAATCATTACTATATATATTAATATACTATTTTTGACTCTAGACAACCCAAAAATAGTTTAGACACCTATCCTATGGAAAGAATGTATGTGTAGTAGTAGTTTCAATTCAATTCTTTCTTTACTGTTTTTACCAATCAAAAATATTCAAAAATAGTCATTTGTTTATATTAATTGTGTGCAACTTTACATAAATAATAAAGATAATTCATGGCTTGATATATCATAATAATAACAATAAACAGAAATGTAATTAATACTTTTTATCCGGAAATAGCAAACGCACAAAATATAAATAAATGATATAAATAAGCGAAGTTTTTCTTATTCCATAAATTTCAAAATTTAACAGACAAGGATTTAATAAAAATTTATATTCGTTGACCTTTTTCCTAATAAGAAGGTAAATAAATGAGTAGTCAAGTCGCTAACAAATGCTAAGCAAGGGTATGTTGTTTTATTTTTGATTGCTTTAGATTTTCTAGCTTTATCTCAGTATCTCTAGCATTCTTCAGGGTCCAAGCTCATTCATTCATTATACAATTAACCCATCAATTGGCTGTCTTTAATTAACCTGACAAGCGACGATTCTATGAACTTGGATAACATGGAAATAATCGTATCTTTAACTATACAACATCTACCTCTCCTATACCGACATCAATCCTAAATTTTATATTACCATTTTCAGGATTCATTTTATTGTTATGAATTGAAATGGGTAAAAGAAATTTTAGGTTTAATGTCTTTCTTATTTAAATAAATCATGGTCTATTAGACTCTCCAATAAACCCCTTCCTTATCCATCACAGATTTATGTCATTTTTGCTGTAAGTTTTTTTATTAAGCACTGATGATATGATGCAGTTATTTGGCACACATATTCCTTTGCATATCTCAATACTAAGACCATGCAAAAACGAAACTCTGAAGAATCAGTTTTGAAAATAAGAGAATTTATTAATATATTATTATTATTCTCTTTCTTCCGAATGGGCTAATAATAATAAAGAGAAATAATTTATTTTTACTATTATAGGCGTAGGTGTGTCAGATTATCCTTTTCGCTCCTATACAGGTTCTTCTCTTGTGACCTTTTGAATGCAAATGCTCCGTGAATAGAAGCGAGGCTTCTCACGAATGCAAATTCAACAATATCCCAATTCTCGCACCGCATCATGTAGGGGTAAATTGACCTTTCTTTTTAATGGGTAAAAGTGCATAATATTTAAATAATTGAGTTCTAATATAATTTATTTCCAAGAATCAAGCGTTTGTTGATGACTCATTGTTATCTTCGTTTCCTGAGAAATGTCGAGGCAGCATTTTCCTTTATTGAAAGTTGATATGCAGTGATATGCAAAACTTTTTTGCCACCAGCAGAGAAAACCAAAAAATCAAAATGGAAGAAAGTCAAAGAAAAAAATAAAATAGCAGGTTTTAATACAAAACATTATTTACTTTTTTTTTTGAAATTACTGATCATACAATAAACATTGTAAATAATCAATCACCTTTTTTTCAATGTGTAGTAGGCCTCGCTTTATTTTAATGAAAGTCAACAGAATGTGTTCACAAGTACATTAAAAAGTGATGAATCCTTAGATCTATTGACTAGAAGTAAATTTTAAACACTTTTTTTAATATTGATATTCATTATAGAGATTGATTTTTTTACTTGTTGTTTTAAAATATTATCAAAGAACGATAATAATCAGATTTCATCTAACGGGACGGAGAGATCGTTGATGATGTGACTTTTAATGATTTTTATCTACCACTACAACTGGAACCAAGGAATAGACGGAAGTGATAATCTTAAACAAATTTTCTATTAGTTAATTAATTTGCTCATTTACATTTTTTGGTGATGATTTTTAATAATGTTGAAGATGAAGCTAGAGACTGCTGTTAGCAAATTATAAGCCTGTTACTGTGACATTTCATCAAGATCGTCAATATAAAAAAGAACAAATAGTTTAATTCATAAAAGCCTTTGAATCTCTTTTTTTGAAAAAATTTGTCGAGTGATTTGCGTTTTAAGTCAAGAGGCTGAATCAAACTTTCTCTACATGTTAACAACCATCATCTATTATTATGCAGAAAACAATTTTTTAAATCCGGATAATTAATATGATTAATAAAATTTATAATTTTTAAAAGCAAATATTATTCTTGTGAATTTATCTAATAAATAGATCATGCTAATACATACTACATGAACAAAGGTTGGGCCCATTTTGCGACTTGGGTTCCCATTTTTATTAAACTAATACTAATAAATAAATTTCGACCAAATTGACGAAAATGGGTTACCAAAATTTGACAATTGTAATACCCGAAAATTATTTTGCTATTTTTGATAATTTCCTTGGCATCAATCTTCAATCCGTGTGTGTAACATTATTATTATTATCCAAACAATTTTGGGATTCCTATTACTATAATTTCTAAATTTGTATTAGTTACACGACGAAATCATTTAATTTATTTGTGATATCAATTTATTTTTGAACATGAGTCACTGCTTTTCAATGAAATTTAGTCGTGTG